GACTTCCCCAAGATCGACGACATCCACCCATTCTACGCCGACCTGTGCAACGCCCCACTCCCGCGCGCCAGCGATCCGCGGATCGGGCTCCCAGTCTTGCCCAGACCCCCGTCGTGCCGTGTATAGAAACACGATGGGAGTTTTTTTTTGTTGTTTTTTTTTGTGTGTGTTTTTGTTTGTTTGTGTTGTTGTTGTTGTTGTTGTTGTTGTTGTTGTTGTTGTTGTTGTTGTTGTCATTTTCGGCCTCATGGGGCCACTGGTGGGCCCTGGCGCTGCAAAGAAAAAGGCTCATACATTTTTTATTTATTATTTTTAAAGTATCGCGTATCCCCATCAGCCCATTCAGAGCGATGCCCATGAAACCATCATGGGCTGTCTGGGGCCATCTTGTAATCATCTCGTGGTCATCTTGGGGCCATGTTGGACCCTCCAAAGACCTTGGGCGCCCCCCCCTCCAGACAGACGGGGAGGGGGTAGAGGGCGGGGTAATCCTCGCCCCGAAGAGGTCGGGGAGAAGGACGTTGGAACAATTCAGTCCCTAAACCACCCTCACCAAGAGGGCTGGTGGTGTTTTGATCCTCGGGGGCGGGTCTGACTTCGCGGGCCCGCGCTGCGAAGACATCGCGCGCTCACGTGGGTGCGAGTGACATGGCAGATGCGCTTTTCCTACAGTGCGAGTGGCGGTATGTGGGGTCTGAGCTTTCAGCTCCCTATTGCTGCGATCGCTCCCGCGCTTGCGGTTGCCCGCAAGAACCTCCGAGCCACCAGCCGAAGGTGATACATCTACGTGCAACAGACAGCATACAGCAAACTGCGGCATCGCAGACATCACACAACCTGCAAGCTACGGCATCAAGCAGTGTACAGCAACCCTGAGATCCGACGACTGGGAACATATGCATCTTCCTGCGCGTGTTCCTCTGCGCAATCTCTCGAGCCCCAGCGACCTATAAGGGCCCCAGGACCCGAACGAGGAGCAAAACGCCTAGCACGAGCAGGAATGAGACCCCAGGCTCTCAGGGAAACTGCGGTGTCGAGGGTCTGGGTGACCTCCTCCTCCTCCTCCTCCTCCTCCTCTTGTGCTGTGCTGTGCTCTTATCTTGTGCTCGTCCATCGTCTGGTCGCCCCGAGGGGCGGGCCCCCAATCCCAGGCCGTCCGCTTGACGGCGCGGGCCCCTGGATCTCTGGGCCCCCCCCCCTCCTCCCCCCCCCCCCCTCCTCCTCCTCCTCCCCCTCTCCTCCTCCTCCTCCTCCTCCTCCTCTCCTCCTCCTCCTCTCCTCCTCCGCCTCTGCGATTCTCTGCCTCCGCCTCTGCCTCCGCCTCCTCCTCCTCCTCCTCCTCCGCTTCCTCCTCCTCCTCCTCCTCCTCCTCCTCGTCCGCCTCCGCCTCCGCTTCCTCCTCCGCCGCCGACTCGGCCGCCCCGTTGGCGCACGCACCGCTTCGCCGCGGCCCCGTGGGGCTGGGCCAGGCCCTGGAAGTCGGCGTCGGCCAGACATTCAGCCACGCGCAGAGGGGGGTGGGGGGGAGGGGGGAGGGCTTCTTAGAGGTACCCCTGCTCCTTGGAAGGCGCGGGCCTTATCTTTAGATGTAAGGCCGTCGCCTTCTAAGAAGCCGCCTCCTTCTACGAAGCCCTCCCCCTTCCCTCCACCCCTGTGAGCGCGCCGCCAAACATACAAGAGGCCACGCGGGCTCTCAGAAGTCTTGGTATACTCTGGGCTTCTGAATGGGCGTGAGGGGGTCCCCCCCCCCGGCGGGAGTCAACCTCGCCTCGTCGTCGCGCCGCGACGGGGGTCGGAGCGCCTTCGGCGCGCGGTGGCTGCCCGCGACGGGGGTCGATGTGGGGCTGTCGGCGGGGGTGACGCCCCCCCCGACGCTTATCCAGAAACTCGGAGTATGTTCCGTGGCGGGCGCTTCCTGGCCGTACAGCTGCGGAAACGCTATATTACGATGTTGCAGTCTGGTTTTGTATTCGATGTTCGGGTCGGACGCCCGCCTCCGAGGAGGACACATCGTAGCACTGCCCGCATATCCCTTGTGCGCCCCAGGGACCGCGGCGGGCCCGCGGGCGGGGCGGGCCGGCGAGCATTCGGCGTATTCTTCGAGAACCCGACGGACAAATCAACTTGTGGGGTAAGTCAATTCTGCAGTCGATGTACTACTCGAAGCGTGCTCTAGCGTCGATCAGCGTTGGGTCATCGCTGGGATAGCGCCAATTGAGCGACGATGAGTGTTGATTAGCGTCGCTTTAGCGTCGATTTAGCGTCGACTGGCGTCGAATCTGCGTCGGTTCGCAAGAGCCAGACGTATGAAAGGCTCCCACGAGCAGCCGCAGGACGCCTGGATGGGGCCCGGGGGCATGCGGGGTCGGAGGGTCTCGCGCCGCATCGGCGGCGCACTGGCGGTGCTGGCGCGGTCCTCCGGCCCTGCATCCGCTCCAGTCCCCGCTTCGGCGCCCCCGATCCCCGCCCTTTCTAGGCGCCCCTCGGGGCCCCCGAGTTCTGTCCTCCGCCGTCCTCCCCGGAGCTGGGCTCCTGACGGACGCAGAGCTCGAGGGGCCGATCGCGTTCCGCTCAGCCTGTTGGGGCACGCGGCCGCGCGCGCGCACGGCAAGCACTCTCTGACGAGCGAGCGACACACACCCGTACCCAAAGGTGGGACGGAGGGGGCTGTGGGTGCGTGTTGTCGGATGGGCTCCCCGCTCGAACGGGAGCGCCCCCCCAGGGTCCGACAACCCGCGCCCATGCCCATAGCCCGTCCTCCCTCCAACGTCTCCCCTGTGGGTATGGGTGTGTGCGTTGTGCGTTCGTCACTCTCGGCGTGCCGTCCTGTCCTGTCGTCCTGCCGGGAGCGAGTCGTGCAGGTCCCCCCCCGGGGGGCTCTCCCTGCGGGCCCCGCTCCTCTGCAGCGGAGGCCCAAGCCGAGAGACGCCCTGCTTGCCTCCAGGGTGCCCTGGGCTTCTTGGGTTGCGATGGTTTTGCCATGGAAGTGCTGTTCAGTGTGTGTTGTCCTGGCGAGGTACTGTTGGGAGGCGGTCTCTAGCCTGGCGATCATGTCTCTAAGCCTTCTTGGGGTCTTTTGGAGCCATGCTGACTTCAGTCTGGGCCGCCTTGGGATACAGTGGAAACCCATGCCAAGAAACACCCTGCTTGCCTCCAGGGTGTCCTGGGTTTCTTGGGTTTCGATTGTTTTGCCATGGAAAGCGTGACGCTCACACGCCAAACATCGAGGGGCGTCCTGGGGGCTCAGGGTTGGGTTTCTGGTGGAAGGCTTCTTGTGGTCGGGCCCCCACTCTAGGCCTCCCAGATAGGGGTCCGAGCAGATGGGGTCGGTGGATCGCGACGCATCCCCGATGCATCGGCGTTGCGGCGCGATGCGGAGCCCGATTTGCTTCACGTCGACGTCGCCAATGCATCGCCCACGTCGACGATGCATCGCCGGTGCTTCGCCGATGCATTGCCGATGCATCGGCGACGCGGCGCAATCCTCCGACCCCATCTGCTCGGACCCCATCTAGGAGGCATCTAGCTTTAATTCTGGCATGTTTCTCTCCAGGAGGAATGCTCAAACATTGCCAAACCATGTACAAACAAGTATCATGGGAGTATTTTTTTGAGCATTCTTGGGGTATTTTTGAGTTTTTGTCCAAAATCCCCTTGTAGGGGGGCATGCCCGACCTAACTCTAGCTTTGCTTGCGGGCCTCGTTCAGGCGCCCAGCTGCCTTCTCGGGGGGCCGCCCTCCCCGCCCCCCTGAGAGGGGCGAAGGCAAGTAGCAGTGCCACGCCGCTGTGGGGGGCCCGTCGGCGTGCTGCTGCCGGGGAGATGCCGGATGACCTTCGGCCACGAACGAAGGAGCAGCGCGCCGCAGGGCTCCCAATGGCAGCGTGTCGTGGATACTCTTTCCCCCTCCCGATGCCCCCCCACGTTTCCAGCGAAGGTCTTCTGGCCTTCCCGGGGCTTCTCTGGCCCCCAAGAGGCCCCAAATCAAGTTGTCAGGAGTCGGGCAATTTTTTCGTGCCCCAGGGTTTTGGAGTCTCACTGGGGCCCCACTCCTGCTCCCCGGAGGACCGACAGCGCCCAGGAACTCCGAGACCCCCCTGGACCCCGAGTCTTGACCGTATCCGTGCCGCCCCATCCTGCGAGCCGCCAGAGAGGGAGGGCAGCACTGAGGGGGGGGGGGGGGTGCGGGGCACTGTGGAGGGGCGGCCCAGGAGGAAGGGGGTCGGGGCGAGGGCCAGGGCGCGCGGAGGGGGGAGGGAACGGGGAGAGGGGAGGTGGGTAGGGGAGAGGGGGCGCCGTCGTCGTCGTCGTCGTCGTCGTCGTCGTCGTCGTCGTCGTCGTCGTCGTCGAGCGAGGAGGGTTGCTGCCGACGACGACGGCCACGGCCCACGGCCCCCAGACGGGCGGGGGGCCGCGAGCGGCCTCTCCGAGGTCCTGTACGACAGGGACCACTTCAAACTGGCCCTGGGCCAGGCCGCTGCGCACCGCCCCCGCCCCTCCCCCGCGGAGGATAAGTAGGGGGAGGAGGAGGAGGAGGAGGAGGAGGAGGAGGAGGAGGAGGAGGAGGAGGAGGAGGAGGAGGAAGGAGGAGGAGCAGGAGCATGAGGAGGAGGAGGAGGAGGAGGAGGAGGAGGAGGAGGAGGAGGAGGAGAAGTAGGAGGAGGAGGAGGAGGAGGAGGAGGAGGAGGAGGAGGAGGAGGAGGAGGAGGAGGGGGGAAGAGATCTCGTCTCTTCGGCCGGGGAGGAGGCAAGGAATCTCATCGCCCCTCACTCCCTCGCGACACAGGCGCAGCCTCCAGTCTCAACGAAAGGTGCCCTCCTTACTCCCTCCTTTTTTTTTGTTTTTGTTTTTTTCTCTCTCTCTTTCTCTCTCTCTCTCCCCATCGCTCTCTCTCTCTCTACCTCTCTCCCTCTTTCTTTATTCCTTCATTTCATTCTTTATCTCTCTCTCTCTCTTTTGTTTTGTTTTTTTCTCTATCTCTCTCTCTCTCTTTCTTTCTTTCTTTCTTTCTTTCTTTCTTTCTTTCTTTCTTTCTTTCTCTCTCTCTCTCTCTCTCTTTCTCTCTCTCCGTGACTGGCACAGCCCGCGTCTTCGACCACTTCGAACTTATCTGCTCTCCGATTCGGGCTGGCGTTGCTGCGTCCGTTTTGGGCTTGCTTCGTGTCGCAGGCCGTGCCAGCATCAGCGGTTCAGAGCTTTGGTAGTGCCTCTCTCAGTGTCGGCCTGACCGCTCAGGCCTCGCGCTCCCCGCAAAGAGGAGGAGGAGGAGGAGGAGGAGGAGGAGGAGGAGGAGGAGGAGGAGGAGGAGGAGGAGGAGGAGGAGGAGGAGGAGGAGGAGGAGGAGGAGGAGGAGGAGGAGGAGGAGGAGAACGAGAACGAGAACGAGAACGAGGAGGAGGAGGAGAGGAGGAGGGGGAGGAGGAGGAGGAGGAGGAGGAGGAGGAGGAGGAGGAGGAGGAGGAGGAGACGAGAACGAGGAGGAGGAGGAGGAGGAGGAGGAGGAGGAGGAAGAGGAGGAGGAAGAGGAGGAGGAGGAGGAAGAGGAGGAGGAGGAGGAGGAGGAGGAGGAGGAGGAGGAGACGGAGGAGGAGGTGGAGGAGGAGGAGGAGGATGGTGCCCTGCACGCGCCAGCGGCGAGTACAGGTGGACTTGGCTGTGAATGGTTTGGGCACGCAGCAACGCAACACGCTCTGTGTGCCGACGCCCTGCACGCACAGGTGGCAAGCGGCGTTTGTGTGAACGTCCCGTTGTGTTCGCCAAGGGCGTAGCTGTTTTGCTCCTGTCTGGTCTCGCTGCTCCACTGGCGCGCGCCCGCCGTCGCCACCTTGCCCCAGGTCGGCCGCGAGCCCGGCGGGGGAGCGAGAAGTGGCGGACCTTCTCAGAAGGCTTGGAAGCCCCCCGGCCTTGTGAGCGGTTCTCTGAGCCTTCTCCCGAGACGCAGAACACCTCTCAGAAGGCGACAGGGCCTCTGAGAAGTCCCGCTGCCTTCTGAGAAGGCCTTCTCCTTCTCACTTCCCCCCCCCCCCCCGCTTGCCGCCGACTCGGGGTCCGGACCCTGGGCCGAGGCGCGCCAGGGCTGCTCGCCCGGGGGTTGCCGCGCAACGTGCCCGCCTCGCCGCCCGCGCAGGCTTCGGTCGCGGCCTTGCACACGCGGCGTCGACCATCGGAGAGAGCGCTCGGCCGTCGCCTTTGTGTACGCGGCGTCGGCCCCTCCCCTGAACAAGCAGTCCTTCCCGAGGCGGCGGAGGAGGAAGAGGGCCACAGAAGCGGGGCCAACTTCGATCTGGTCGATCCGGTTTGAAAGCAGGGCGCATCGGCGGACGCCAGCGATGCATGTCCTCCTTGTCTTCCTCCGCGTCCTCCGCCTCTTCTTGGGCTGCGGGCGGCCGTTGTCGCCGCCGCAGCTGGGATCGGCTCGAGAAGCGGGGCAGGGTGGACCCTGTGAAGGTTCTGGTGGCAAGTTTTGGAGCGGACTTTGGACCCGCAGGAGGAGGAGGAGGAGGAGGAGGAGGAGGAGGAGGAGGAGGAGGAGGAGGAGGACGAGGAGGAGAGGACGAGGACGAGGAGGAGGAGGATGAGGAGGAGGAGGAGGAGGACGAGGAGGAGGAAGGAGGAGGAGGAGCAGGAGCAGGAGCAGGAGGCAGGAGGAGGAGGAGGAGGAGGAGGAGGAGGCGGAGGAGGCGCAGGAGGAGGAGGAGGAGGAGGGCGGAGGAGGAGGAGGAGCGCAGACGCCAGCCACTTTTTGGTGTCGATCCTCTTGGCCAGGCCCGTCTTGGGCCCAGCGTTGGCGCGTGCGCCTCCTGGCCTCCTGTGAGCTGCCTGGAGCCCCCGCGCGGGCGCGCCCAGGTGGCTCCCTCGGAGCCCTCGGCCGCCCCTTCGCTCTCCTCCTCCCCATCGCTCTCCTCCTCCTCCTCCTCGTCTCTCTCCTCCTCCTCCTCCTCCTCCTCCTCCTCCTCCTCCCTCCTCCTCCCCCTACTTCTCCTCCAGTTCCTCCTCCCCCTTCTCCTCCTTCCTCCTCCTCCTCCTCCTCCTCCTCCTCCTCCTCCTCCTCCTCCTCCTCCCCCTACTTCTCCTCCTCTCCCTACTCCTCCATTTCCTCCTCCTCCTCCTCCACCCCCCGAGGTCAACACCACGAAGAAGATCTGCGACAACATCGCCAGGGACTACGTCAAAATGATGAAGTATGCCGACAGCCTGTGCCCTCGGACCAGGCAAAGGGGCCAGAGGTGGAGGAGGAGGGGTCCACGCCGAGGGCCCCAGTGTCACCATCTTGATCATGTTGTCTCTCTTATCAAATCGTGCGCACCAGCGCCACACCGCAACGCATGCGAGGGCACCTCCACGGCAGCACCAGAGTGCTGGTCGCTCGATTCGGGCTCGAGCCAGAGCGAACGGGTGGAATCCGAGGGAAGACACACAATAATCATGACCAAGATTTCGTGGGATCTTGCCAACGCCGATCCTGGTCATGGGTCCATGCTGGCCGTCGACGATTCGCGGGGTGGTCCACGGAGATTGATGATGACCAGGATGGACGATGACCAACATCGACATCGACGTTTCTGCGCTCAGTCTGGGTCGTAGGGCCCTCGCTTTTCCTCCAGGAAAATCCCCGAGTCGCAGGCGTCCGTCTCGACGTCACCGCAACCGTCCGCCCCGTGAGGTCAACCCGCATAATAAGGATGGACAACCTTCCCAAGGGTACCCTTGCATCCTTGCCTCCTCGGTCCATCCTCGGCCACTTTCGTTGGCCGCGCCCCGCTCGGAAGGCTTGGAAATGAGCGTCCAAGGCCCTTGCATCCTTATATCGCGCATCCTTATGATACGGGCCGACTGTATTCGGCGCCGCCGCCCCTCCGCCCCAATGGCGCACCACCGCGCGGCCCACCCAGGGAGCCCAGGAGGCCTGGGGCCCCTCCAGGCTCAAAGCCAGAGCCGCGCCGCGTCGCAGGCGCCAGCCCCGACATCGCCCCAGCCACACGCCTCGTGCTCGGCTTCGCCACAGTGGAGACCCATGCCAAGAAACACCCTGCTTGCCTCCAGGGTGCCCTGGGTTTCTTGGGTTCTGAGGGTTTTGCGATGGAAGGCGTGACGTTCCCAGACCAAAATTCGATGGACGTCCTGGGTCTCAGGGCTGGGTTTCTTGTGGCAGGTTTCTTGTGGACTGGCCTCGACTTTATGGCCCTCGCTTTCCCTCCAGGAAGATCGCCGAGTCGCAGGCGTCACCGCAGCCATCCGCCTCGTCTTCGGCGCCACCGCCGCGCCGCCCAAGAGGCGCACCGCCGTGCGGCCCACCCCGAGGAGCCCAGGAGAGGCCCGGAGCCCCTTCGGGGCTCACAAGCCGCAGGCGTCGGCCTCGACGTCGCCGCAGCCATGCGTCTCGTGCTCGGCTCCGCCACCTCCTCCGCCCCAAGCGCACCTTCGGGCGGCCACCCGAGATGGCCCAGGATCGAAGCGGAAGAAGCGCCGTAAGCACAAGCTTCTGGCGCTCCGCGCGGGTTTCTCGCATCCGCGCTCCGCGCGCCAGGGAGGGGGGCCCAGCGCAGATCCAAGAAATCCGCGCGGAGCGCCAACAGTTTATGTTTATGCCGCTCTTCCTCTTCTGCAGGAGGCCCCCGGCCCAGGCGTGGGCAGGAGGGCCCCGCAGAAGACCGCCTGCGCCGCGGGGGGCGCCAGGACGCCGCCCCCGCTCGGAGAGCACCAACCGCACCCTTTGGCGTCGCGGCCCCCGCGCGCAGCAACAGGGCGTAGAGAGGTAAAAGAAGCGAACGCAGTAAGTTGGCTCCTCCCTCTTCACTCTGCTCGCGGCCAACCATCCCTCGGCTCAGGCGTCTGGGGGCTGGCCGTTTCCACTCCTGCCCGCATCCAAGCGTGCGCGGGTGGGTGGTTGTGACTGTGGCCAGGCCGCCAACGGAGAGAAAAGAGAGCGGAGCAAGGCAGGGAACCAACTGGCCAGCATAAACCCCGGGAGAGGTCCAGGGAGGCAGCGGTATCGGCACCCTCTTTGTTCTCCTGCCCGAAACCTCGACCGAAGAGCTCTGGAGCCCTCGGCCCCGGCAGTCGCGTGTGGATTCCGCGCCGCGGGTCGTCTTTTGTGGGCCCCTGGGGGCCCGAAGCGGGTCTGCAGGTGCCAGAGCTTGGAGGAACCGACCGCCCCGAGTTCTATCAGGATTTGGACGCAAGTGGGGCCCCGGGTCCGAACGTTTGCAGGAGCCCCCCAGAGACGTCGGAGAACTCCTGAAGACCCGCGGGAGCCCGCGCAGAGGGGTCCGGAGGGTGGATCTCTCTGCCCGTGACTCAGCCCCTGCTCGTCGTCAATCCCCGAGCTCCGACGGCGCAAAAGAAATGCACCATCGTGACAAGAATAGGACCCGAACCCTAGACCTCATTTGTCTGTGCGTTTTCGAGCCAGATTGATCTGTGAGGGTCCCAGGCGCGAAACAATTGAGACGCCAGGATCTCAAAGATTCGGTGCGCGCCCCCCCTCTTCGTGGTGCTGTCCTCCTCTGCCCCGCAAGGTGGCTGTCGGGCCAGCTAGGAGCCGGTCGCAGAGTATACGAAGGGCACCCGCCTCCTCTGCCCCCGCTTCGAGTAGGAGATCGTTCGATGATCCTCAGGACGAGTGCTAGCCCAGTGTGTGTTTCCCCTCGCCCAGCTCCGCCGACAGGGCTCAGCCTGCGTCGGCCCTCACCACGCCGCCGGCGTCGTAGTGAGGGGCATCGGCTGGCAAGCACACGTTGACGCGCATACACGCTCTGAATCGACTGCAGAATTGGTTCACCCCAGATTTGACATGCTCGTCGAACCTGCGACAGAAGACGTACAATGCTCGTATACCTAGTTACGTTCTACGTATTCTTCGTACGTCCGACGAGACTTTTTCGACGTAGTCGATCACCTGTTCGACAGGTACAAGTGCAAGACGCTCAAGCGCGCCGCCCTCGGCCGCATGTGCACGGCGCGCGCCTCCGCCGCCGCCTCCCGCCGCGAGGGGCGGGCCGGGCGCGGGCCAGAACGATGGGCCCAGACCCCCTCGAGTTAGGAGATTGCTCTACGCGGGGATCCCCACAGGTGCCTCTCATGCTCTCTAGTGGATCTATGGGGATGCACGTAGAGTATGCGTTCTGGACATCGGGGACAGGAGTAGGGTATCTAGGAGACGCGGAGATCCCCATATGTGGGGAACTCTGGGGAACTCTACTATTGTCACGTCTCGCTGAGGAACTCTGTCTAGGAGCATCTTGCTGTGAGCGCGGCAACGACGACGACAGCGACGACTTCCGTGGCGTCCTCCTCTTCTGGACACCTTTCACGAGAGAAGTCTGAAACACAAGTGGAAGAGCGAGGGGGACTTATTCTTGCCGTTCTCCCCGCGGCAACCCAGTCAACCGCGAATGGCGTTGCTACGCCCGCTCTCTGGCGTGCCACTGTATAGCGCGGTAGCCACTTGTGTGTGAGCCTTACCCCGAGTGAATCTGAGCGTTGGTGATTTGAGTGTGAGTGAGTCAGGATATATGTTTCGCCTGCGTATGAGTGAGTGACCCTGCGTGCGAACGAGTCTAAGTGGGAATGGGTCTGAATGTGAGTGGGCCTGAGTAGTTTGCGTATGATGCATACGAATATGAGTATGAGTAAGCCTGGGTGTGAAGTAGCCTGGAAATTGGAGGGCTGGCGAGTCTGAGTGTGAGTGAACCTGAGTGTGAGTGAGTTGGGCTGGGTGTGAGTGAGTCTGAATGTGGGTGAGCTTGGGTGTGAGTTCGTCTGGGTGTGAGTGAGCTTGAGTTTGATTGAGTTTGAAAACGATTTGGTACGAATGAGTATGTGTATGAGCTAATTTCGACTCATATCGAGGAAAAGGTGGTGGTGCGTATTTCCGAGTGCGAATGGTTGCGTATGCGTGGGGAAAGGGAGGAGGAGGTGGGTGAGTGAGTGAAGAGTGCACGAGTCCAAACACAACTCTTCTGGGCACAGGGTCATCTCAAACATTCGGCTGCGAATCCTGACGTGTCCCCACCCCTGTCGGCTCCGCGTTGGGGTGCCCGGATGCCACCCGCGCTACATCGCGGTGAGCTTTGGACCACAACGATAGAAACGTCAGAGGGGCAGAAACAAGCAAACCGCCCGAGACATTCCCACACTGTGGGCGCGAATCCTGAAGTGTGCCCACCCAGCGCGGCTCCCCGTTGCGGTGCCCAAGTGCCACGCGTGCTGTATTGCGGTGAGCAGTGGATTACCAGAAGAAAGAAACATGTCGGGGGGCAGCAACAGGCAAAACCCAGGAGACATCCCCATAATTTGGGCGCGAATCTTGGAGTGTCGCCATTCCTGGCGGCGTCCCGTTTGGGTGCCCAAGTGTGACGCCAGTTTCATTGCGGTGAGCATCGGGCTACCAAGAAATGACAGGGCAAAACCACGCAAACCGTTTGAAACACCCCCACAATCAAGGCGCGAATCTTGGGGTTTCCCCACCCTTGGCGGCTTCCCCTTGGGGCGCCCAAGTTCCACGCCTGCTAGATCGCGGTGGGCATTGAATCGCCCAGCGGAAAATGTTCGGAGGGCAGAGCGGACACACCGCAAGAAACATCCCCACGATCTGAGCGCGACTCCTGGAGTGTCCCCACCCCCCAACCCGAGATTCGGGTCTTCGGGTCGGGTTGGGGTGGTCTGGTGGGTCGCCAAACTGGGGCCGAACTGGTGGGGCTTCATCCGATCGCAGCTGCGATCTGCGGCTGCGACTGGTGCCTCCGCAGGCGCTGCAAAAGATCACTGCGCGTGCTCCTGCGACCGCCCGAGCACTGCTCGGCGACACGCCGAGGGGGCACACGTTGAGTCCGTCCTGTCCCTCTACAGGAGGAGTGTTCTGAAATAAGCAGAAAATAGTATGGGGACGATTCCCTAGTATTTTTGTAACAATTTTTGGGCATTGCTTGAATTTTCTTCGTCCAGTATCCGCCTGCAGGTATCCGCTCGTGCAGCCGAGCGCGCGGGAAGAACACATCATCATCACCACCACCACCACCATCATCATCATCATCATCATCATCATCATCATCATCATCATCATCATCATCATCATCATCATCATCAGGTTATTTGTCATATTGGAGGTTGGCTGGACCATCAGTAAACGAGTTTTGAGAGACGTTTTGGCTTTTGGGGATATCTATCACGTGCCTGCGGTGCCGTCGTTCGCGTCTGAGCTGGTATATTGACGCATGCGTGACTCTTATGCGTGGCATAGGTCACACCAAATGAAAGAGTTTTTTTTGCCAATCTTTTGGGTGGCGGCACTAGCAGCCGCGCGAGTCAACATTGAAAGCAGCAGTACCACAAATCCATAGAACTGGGTAGGAGGAGGATGAGGAGGAGGAGGAGGAATGCGAGCCGCCGATGTTCATGGTTAAACAGATGGAGAAGGAGGACGGATGATGAGGACGATGATATTCTAGATGCGGGACGAGTCGTTCACATCGACGATGGAGCAGCCCTCCAGACTCTGGTAAGGTCGCGTGTCATTCTGAACGAGATTAGCAGGAATCATTTTTGAGCAGGACAATGGATACGCTTTCATGGGGCAATGCTTCTGCCGAAGCTGACGACATCAGGCATGGAGGTTTGTGGTCGAAATCGCAGCATGTCAGTTCACCAGGCCTACCAGTCGCAGCATGTCAGTTCACCAGCGTCAGGTTGTGCGGCCAGTGTACACCAGTGACTATCCAACGGCCAGAAAGCTCCACTCATGGGAATACGACATTGGATCTCTATTTACATACTGTTCGCGCTCCGACTCTCTGTGGCATCATGCGTGCTGCTTGTGAACATTCTGGATGCTAGATGCTCAGAGATACTGGATTTCGAGCTGGTTTTCGAAGCGCTTCAAGCTAGCCCTAATTCATTTTTGTTTTCGATCTTCTGGCCGGCGAGTGCATGAGTGCCCTCGGTGTGCAGGCAATCGGTGCGAGTCCTTCTCGCCTCACAGATTCTCTGGACAGTCGAAGCTATTCGTTCACTGCTGTCTCCCCCCCAGCCGTGGCAATGTCAGCGACGATGCGCTGCTAGGTGCCCGAGCTGCTGATGCCAAAGTCGTCAACACTGACTCCTCCTCATACCCCTTCTTCTCCCTAACCTCCACCTCCTCCCCCTCCCCCTTCTTCTCATCTTTCTTCTCCCCTAAGTCAAAGCGGCGGCAGGAAAACCTAGGGGAGGCTCTTCAGTTTTTCCCACGGTTTGGCTTGAGCCTGAAGGGGTCTTCGAATTTTACCCCCATGGCTGCATTGCCCCGTCAGGCATGAGGTTCAAGCTGAACCGTCGCACTCGAGGCAGGACATGTCCTGTCCTCGGCGCATCAAGGTGGTATACCAGGCCCCTGGTTCCATAAACGGGGTTCAGGCGCCCATAAGCCATATGACTTCAAGTATCCTTCGCCTCCCCCCCTCTCGTTACCCTCCTCCCGATTGAGGCGGTCAAGAAGCTTGCCGGCTCCCTGGCGTACCTGGAGGAGGTCCGGCAGCACCTGGGGCGCCTGCCGTCCATCAACCCGGCGACGAGGACACTGATCTTGACAGGCCTCCCCCAGCCACCCCAGGACGGGGATGAGGAGGAGTGATGCCTCAGCGGATTGGCCGCTCTTGGGCTTCGCAAAGAAAAGAGGAGGATGTGGAGGAGGGTGGAGGGAGGAAGAGGAGGAGGTGGTGGAGGAGATGGGATGGGCGAGGGGGAGGAGGAGGAGGGGTAGGAGGAGGAGGAGTAACGAGCAAGGGGGATGATGATGCTGATGAAGACGACGAGCAGGAGGGTGATGATGAGATGATGACGATGATGAGGGAAGCGATGATGTTGATGAATGCGATGATGTTGATGATGATGATGTCCATGATGATGCTGCTGCTGATGATGATGACGATGATGTTGTTCATGATGATGAAGATGATGATGACGATGCCGAGGACGATGACGATGCCACTGATGGTTATGATGATGCTGGTGATGATGATGTTCACGGTGAAGAGATGATGATACTAATGATGATGCTGATGATGGCAATGATTATCATACTGATGATGACGATAAGGATGATGTTGATGATGATGCTGCTGATGACGATGGTGATGGTGACGACGATAATGATGACGATGATGCTGCTGCTAGTGATGTGATGATGGTGATGATGGTGGTGGTGATGATGATGATGATGATGATGATGATGATGATGGGGGTGGTGGTGGTGGTGATGGTGATGATGATGGCGATGATGTCGCTGACGCTGATGCTGCTGCTGATGATGATGATGATGACGATGACACAGACGACGACGACGACGACGACGCTGCTAATGCGTCTGCTGCTGCTAACGCTGCTGCTGCTGATGCTGCTGCTGCTGGTTGTGATGCTGATGATGCTGCTGATGGTGATGATGATGACGACGCCTGTGCTGATGCTGCTGCTGATGATGATGCAGATGATGATGCAGATGATGATGGTGATGATGATGATGATGATGATGCAGAATGTGATGATGCTGATGATGATGACGAAGACGATAATGATACTGATGATGATGCAGATGATGATGCTGCTGATGATGCTGATGATGATGACGATGCTGATGATGCTGATGATGATGCTGATGCGGATGTTGATGATGATGCTGATGATGCTGACGATGCTGCTGCTGATGATGCTCATGATGACGATGCTGCTCATGATGATGATGATGATGGTGATGATGATGATGTTGACGATGCTGTCGATGATTGTGATGATGGTGATGCCGATGACGATGACGATGATGATGCTGGCGATGATGATGGTGATGATGCTGATGGTGATGCTGCTGATGATAAAGACGATGGTGATGCTGCTTATACAGATGATGATGCTGCTGCTGATGATGCCGATGATGATGAGGATGATGACGATGCTGGTGATGATGACGACGATGATGATGATGCTGCTGATGATGGCGATGGTGCTGCTGCTGCTGATGGTGATTTATGATGC